ATCATTTTTCCTCTATCTTCTTCTTCTGATATCTGTATTCTAGATTCTTCTAGAGATGATGCTTTGTTATGATGAGAGAGCCGAGTCTAAAAGTTTTTATAATTTCGTTATGGTCACTCCGTTGTGACGTCTGTTAAGGCCTGGATCTACTTAAATCTAGATCTAGAGATCTAGTTTCAATGTCAGTTGCCAGCGTGGTTGGCTCCGAGATAGAAAGCTCGACTTCGAAGCCAAAGGTAATGGATTCGACCAAACTTCATGTCAGTTGACTTACACGCAAGTAGGACCTTGGTGTGCACACAGTAACTAATCAGCTAGATTCTAGATCCCGGTGCCCTCCTTGCAGCCACAGACAATATTTTTTCCACAAGGGCTAGATTCTATGCTATAGCAGTATGTGTTTTAATTTATAGATAGGCCTACCACACCTGCATGTATTTTTTTTAAATTTCAGATTCACAACAAAGTCAAAGTCTCGGAAGCAGCGGCAGTGAATTTGAGCCACCACCAGATCTAAAATCTGAGCCTGGAACCTTACGGGAGGACCAGCCCAATTCAGTGACAGCAGAAGGTTAGTAAGCTTCTAAATCTATGCCTTTAATTTCTGGTACCTTAGGGAAGGACCAGCCCAATTCAGTGACAGCAGTAGGTTAATTAAGCTTCTAAATCTTACCATTACTAGACTAGGCCTCATTTATTTTATGTGCATAAACTGGGAAATTTCCGTCTGAATAGCATAGAGATCGTCGTTTCTTCAATGCTCATGCACATTATTGTTGTACAATGCAGTATGACAGGCACACTGAAAAGGTTTTTCCTCTATCTCTCACTCTTCTGTTTTTTAAAACATTCTGTCCTGAGTTTTAATTCGTTTCTTTTATTTACATATAATATGTATTATAATGTAACTTAAACATCTTGTCTGAGTTGGATTCATTATTGCACGTTATAATCTTGTTCTCAATGTCCAGGTTCATCTTGCCGTGGGCTCATGAACCCTTTGGTGACTGGGCCTGCACAGGGAGGGGAGGACAACGATCCCAGCACATCCCAGGTGGAAACCGATGAAGCTTAGCTCGGACCTTTAGCTGGTTTGTCTCACTTTCCACATCATCCAGTGAATAAAAAGAGTACTTTTAAGTTTACTGGGTCATTTAAGATCTGTTTCCTTTCAAATTCCCCAGTTAACACGTTACTAAGCCATATTAATGGTAGTGTTTTGTTTGGGGGGGGGGGGGGGGTTGTGTTCTTACATTTGGGATTTTCAGAAAAAGAAATTGTTTTTAGAATTTTGAATTAGTTTCCAACTATTAGGACATACTGGGGGGGGTGGATCTTTTTCCAAAATTAAAATTTATGGGAATATGAAAATCTATCTTCACCACTTTACGGGAAAATTGTAAGGGAGAATGGGCGGCTCCGTCTGTAAAGTTACAAGTTTTTTTCCCCTTCCCTTTCCTTTTCAGCTCTTGAGTCTATCGAGGACCCACCCCGTACTTCAAACGGAAACGAAAGTGTTGCTGATGGTGCAATCAGCACTGTCGAGGAAGACGAGGAGCCACCAACTCCGATTAACCGAGACGAAAGTTTTGCTGACAGTGTAGTCAGCACTGTCGAGGAAGACGAGGAGCCACCGACTCCAGCTCCTTCATACGGAGTCGAAAGTTTTGGTGGTAGTGAAATCAGCACTGTTGATTTCAACAACACAGCAGGTTAGGCCCCTACTATTCAATAAGAGTGTGTCCCTGCCGTGTTATGCAAGTTGCATAAAAATGCTTAATTTTGTGTTTTTCGCTTTGTGTGCTGTTTTTAAACACATATGACCAACAAGCAATTATTTCATCTACTCTCAACATGGTCAGATAAATGTTTCTTTTCATTAAAAGTTACTTGTAGATACGTATTCGATAACCTATTAATAATGACAGAAATGCCACACGTTTTTCCCGCAGCGTATTTACTTTAACTGTTCTAATGTGAGTTCTATAGATGAATTACTTTGCTACACTACAAGTGGTTAGCAGGTAGCACTGGTAGCTTCTACTTTTCTCCTAAGATTCTGTTTTATCTGTCGTCTTGCTGTTTCCTGGCGCTGAATGACTGTTATAATGTCAGTGTTTTCCTTATCAATTCAACTACATTGCTACACATGAGCTTATTTTTCTTTATCTTTCTCTTTTTCTTTAGATGACCCTCTCCCTTCAAACCGCGGTAAAAGGAAACCAGCCCCTCACACCTGGAGACGCAGTGTGGCAAAGCATGCCCGATTGTTTTTGTACTTTGTTTATGACCATGCCTATCTTGTTTCTCTTGTTTTAGTAGAGGTTTTACAGCGCTAGCAAATGCATAAAGTCATTACTGAGTGCCAAGGGGTAGATGTCAACAGAGAAGTCCTTACAGGGAATCAGCCTTACTCTCTAGCTTCAACAGCACTAAGTTTGCTTCGACTATCATGGCACCCCGGAAATAGCGGGTCGCAAGAGTGTGACAAACATACAAAAGAAGTAGAGGCAAATGACGGTAGTAAGGATTAGGAAAGAAAAAGCAGCAGTTCCCTGTTGCAGTTCAGGCACACTTATGAGCTTGACATTGATGAATCAGTCCATTTACAATTCATCTGTGCATAAGAACAGATTAATGTCCCCCCTTTGAGAATGGCCTAAAGACACTTCAGTCAGTAGCACCGCCTGTGGGGTTTCTTGGTTCTCTTCCATAGATATTGTTATACTTATTTCCTATTTGGTTAATTTTCCACGAGCATTTTAACATTTTGGTTTTCATTGAGCACAATGGTCATTGCTCTTGCAGAAAACTCCCAAATATTTCAGTTTGTTTGAATTGTCGTTGAGTTGAGTTAATAAAGAAAGCACATCGACACGATAATACCTATGAATGATTGTCATGTTTATGAATGGCTGTCTTTAAAAAAAATATTATTGTATTTGTTGTGTCATGAATGTAATGTGAAATGTTTGACATCGTAAAACAATTTACCCTGTCAGGAAAAGTAATTTTATCTCTTTGTCTATTACTGGTACTATTATCCTATTTATTGTTGGTCACATCAGTGATCATTGGCAGCTGTCGCAAAACATTTCTTGAGGCCCTGCTCACCTTGTGAGATAATGCATTATGATGTATGTTGATTCTTTGCTTCTTTGTACCTGACACTGTGTGCAAATTATTGTACTCTGTGCTTTAATTCTTCATGTATAATAAAAGATATTTTTGGAGTCCTTTTTTACTTTACTCTTGCATTTTGTGTTATTCTTTTTACCATAGTAGAGAAATACGTACCTTAACATGTAGATCTAGATGTACACAATGTACTTGTGTGGGGGAGGTTGCTGAGTAGGCCTACTACAGCTGCTGATAGGTTCTTCTTTCCTAATATTATGTTTTATCTGTCTGTCATCTTGCTGTTTGGTTGGTGAGTGCTACTGGTAGGTTCTACTTCTAATCTAACACTAAATATCTGTCTGTCGTCTTGCTGTTTGGTTGGTGGGTGCTACTGGTAGGTTCTACTTCTGACCTAACACTTAATATATCTGTCTGTCGTCTTGCTGTTTTGCAGGTTGTTGGAGGGTGCTACTGCGCGGTAGGCTCTACTTCTGTTCTTTCATTGTTTTATCTGTCTGTCGTCTTGCTGTTTCTTTGCACTAAATGACCGTTATCGTGTCCATGTCCTTTATTTAGCAACTGAACTCGTGCTGTTGGCTGTTACTGTTAGTGTTAGTAAATCGTATTGTTCTTTCTGCACAGACGTATCTCTATACTTCAATGTAGACTCTACATTGATGTGTCCAGGTGTTGATCATTCCTGAACTTTGACTACCAATGTTATACAGTCCTTGCCGGCTTTAAGCACGGTCATCGTGAGAAATCATTTAGAAGCGTGCCTAATGCCGAAGCGTGCTTGAGTGCGAAGTAGATATAATTATAATCCAGAGATTTTCATGTTGAAAATTCCCTGTGCTATTTCTCTTTGTTTGTAAGTAGTGGTCGCACAAAAGTTTGTGCTGTTATTTTTACCCGCCATGGTCGTTTTTGTTTGTTTGTTTGGTTTGTTTTTGTTTTGTGGTCGAATGGGAAATGAAAACTTGATTTAGACGGCCAGTCACGATACAGCACACTAGGCCTACCCTACACACTGCCTGTGCGTACCACTGCCCGCTGTGCCACATTCATACCACAGCCTTCATCCCACCTGGCGCGTGATACATAATCAGGGTTATCCCGTTATCGGATAGCGAGGGGCAATAGGTGAAATCGCAGCCAGCCTCCTTTTCTGAGTTCTCGTCTCCCGGACTCTCTTTGTATTTTTTTTTTAGTCTGTGAAGCTTTGCCCTATGCTAGATCTAGATCCTATGTCCACGCGCATGGCTGTGTGCAACTCTGTCTTCCTCTCCGCACGCGTCATTTGTGTGTGTGAATGTGTGTCTCCATCATTAGCGTTCTTTGTGTTTCTCTTAACACATTCACTGCTGCGGTGTAGACTGTGTTTGAACTTCGATGGGTCATCGTGAAAGTATTGACTGTCTTGTAAATGAAGCGTGCCTGAAGCCGAAGTTACTGTGCTTAAAGGTGTGTAATAATATCCCAAAATTCGGTATGAGCTGTTTAGCGTGTTTTATGCCGGTGTGTTTAAAGCCGGCACGGACTTTACAAATTTTTACAAGCTTTTGATCAGCTCAAAGCTTCTTCTGAAGAAATATGGCATGGATAACTCAACGTAACAATAATAATATACATAAATATAGATCTAAATTGATCCACATTTTGGCCTAAGTCACCATTGACGGTAAAAACTCGGGGGCCGTTTTGGCCTAAGTCATTTCGCATTTTGGCCTAAGA